GGGGAGGCGGCGACCGTATTGCCTGAATACCAAAGACCACAACACGAGCTAACATGTGCTATCACCTGTTCGCGCGCAAGCGGGACAGGACGATCGACGAACAGGTCGAAATGGACATCAGCCTGTTGTACATCTTGGACGCGGGAGACAACAGTACCAAAGCGCATGCACTTCCCTTTGATCACGTTTGGGCTTTGCTGCTCCTGCGCTGTAGTGCAGACGATTTGGGAGGTGTGGGGGGAGACCACCCCACAAGTAAACAGCTACTGCCGTACTTGCTCTTGCTACATTGCCGTCCAGGGTGCTCAGGTTGGTAGCGCCCAAGACCGATTTTTGAGCAACTCACCATCGCAACGCACAGCGAAGCTATCTCCACCGTGGTCGACCAAGCCTCAGTATGCGTCCATCGCGGAACCGCCTATTGTCCGTTCGCACACCTCCTTTTTTCTTTTTAAGTTAAAAGTACCACAAAAAATGTTGTGGTACCTCTCCAAACCAAGGTGCATTCATGCACGTTCAGGGGTCTCGTACATACTTCAGAGGCAGCAATATTCATAGACAATCACAGAATGACTACCCGTTCGAGATATTGAGAGAACCACGGCTTTTTTGTTGTTGTTAGCTTTTTTGTTCTCCACGTCCCATACCGTACGCGGCAGGTGGCTTGCCGGTCTCTGGTGAAGCGCGCCTCGGACGAGCACGGCAACCCGGTGGAGAACTGGTCGCTCCAGCTCATCGAGGGCGTCAATCGGTGGGTGTCGCTGTCTTGTCCCGTGTGAACGCGGCACGCTTGGAGGCATAGGTAGCTACAAGAGCCTGGAGAAGGCTTATGTGAGAGGTGGGGGCGACAGGAATGGCAATTTCGGGGCACGTTTTTCGGGAACCCGGGGGATATAGATACAAGACAGAGCATGTTTTCCGGCAGTCGAGGGGGCTCCGTGGAATCACTCATATATCGTCGTGTCGCTTCCTCTGCCTTTCGCAACTTTGCACCTTGTTGCGCTCTGGCGCTTGGTCTGTGCGCGCGCAAAGCTAACATCATTTCGTGGGTGCTCCTTCGACCTGTAAGGCCACTGCTGTGCTATTGGCGCGAATTCAACGCGAAACGCTCCCCACCTAGAGGTGACGGGGCGGGGGGTGTCCTCATGAAAACGCATGCCGTAGGCGTTAGGCTATTTACCTCGCATCCCTGCAACTCCGGGATGGAGCGGGGCTTGGGGCGGACACGTTGCCGTGGTGGTCTTGGAGCCTCGAATGAATGAATCTGTTTGACAACCAAAAACAACTCTAATAGTGATACAGCTTCGCTCGACTTGATTGTGACGAGGCCACCCGCCCACACACCCTTTAAGTTTGGCTCCAAAGTATTCGTGTTTGGTGACCCGCGGCTGAAGATAACCCCCCCCCCCCCCCCCCCCCCCCCCCCCCCCCCCCCCC